CCTGGCCAATTCTTTGAGAAGTGGACAGCCTCTTCCTTCTTCCTAGTCTGTCTCAGTCTATAAGCTGGGCTGTTACCTGTGCACCAGGTGCATTTTGCTGGGTTTTAAACACCAGAGGCTCAGCCTCAAAACTCACGTCTACACGTCACCACAGTAGGACAAACCAACAGACAAGTTTGTTTTGCTGTTGGAGACCTCTCATATCACCCCCACCTGGGTCCCTGTGGCTGACTGTTCCTCTGTCTGGATTCCTGGCTTTTAAACCCCTTTCTCTTGCTCTTCTGGCCTGCTGCTTTGGGTGTCCCTGAGTTGTCCCTAGGGCTGACTGCTCCTCTGTCCGGGTTCCTGGGTTTTTCATTTCATTATATGCCCCTATATTTTATTGATAGGAGTCCTTGGGTGGTGCAAATGGTTAAGTGGTGGACTACTAATAGAAAAGTTTGGAGTTGGAACTCACTGAGAAGCACCTCAGAAGACGACCTGGCAATCTGCTTCTGAAAGATCACAGTATTAAAAACCCTGTGGAGCAGTTCTAGTCTGCACATGAGTCAGAATTGACTCCACAGCAACTGGCAACAGCAATAGCATATCTTATTGAAAAATCCTTTAAAAAAATAAAAAGGCACAATTTCTGGCCTTGCATAGCTTATAGATTAGTGGGAAAAGTGGAGGTGGGAATAGAGATTATAACAGGGCAAACTGATGTACATCAGGAGTTAGGGGAAGTTTCTCAGGAAAGGAGATTTCAGTAGAGACATAAAGGATAAGAAAGGAGCTAGCAAAAGGAAGAGAGTTAGAGGCAGAGTAAATAATTTGTATGAAGGTCCTGAAGTGGGAAAAGGCTGGGTTGAGGTGGGAAAGAAAGCCATATACATCAAGTGTAGTACTTGATGAAAGAATGATACCAGATGAGGCCATAGAGGAAGGCATGGGCCAGTTCATATGTAATGATACAGACCATGTTAAGTAAAACATTTAGATTTTATCCTAATGGGAAGTCATCAAAGGTTTTTCGGTAGGTGGCATGACATAATCAGATTTTCATTTTCTAAATATCACTCAGGCTTCTTTGTGAGAATGGGTTAGAGGTAACCAACAAATGTAGTGGGGAGTCCAGTAATATTGCTATTGCAGTAGTCAAGGCAGGAGATGATGGGGCTTGGATATGGTTAGAATGCAAGTGGCATCAGGGCTTGCTATAAATTAATACATATCATGAAATAGTAAGTATTGATGTTGTCAGACTCCCTTATTTATTCCACAAAATCTTCTGTAACCTTTATATACACATAATCCAGAAAGATAGTAGACACTGCACACACACACACACACATTTACATATACATGATGTATATGTATCTATAGTGAATATATATGTACACTTAAATATGAATGTATGTATGTATGTATGTGTGTGTATTTCTTAAATATCTCCAAACATGAAATTGAAGTTTAATCATTCTTAAGGTTTTAAACCTTTTTAAATCTAAATCTTTCTTCTGTCTATATTAAGTTACTTCCTTGTGTTGTGTGTTATGCCGGATTTAAAAATCATGTGAAAAACTCATCCATAGAGAAAAATGATTAAATATGCATTATTTTGCAGTAGCATGAGTTTAAATTATGCTGAATAAAAACATATGCTGAATAAAACTTCTAAAATATTCCATATTAACCAAACTTCTTTTCTCTATACATCTTTCTTCGTTTGGTATTTAAACACAATCTCCTTTCTTCAGCTGTCCTCCCAGTTGTTACTTCTCTTTTGCCCTAGGTAGAAGTCTGTTCTTTACTTAGCGTGGCAGTAATGTTTAGTTTCCTACATGCGAAGAAATGACTTTTGAACCACATTTTGTAGGATTCCTTATCAATTCTGTGATGGCTTAGATAGACTTTACTTTCTAATGACATAGTAAAATACACCTTTACTACTTTCACAAAATCCTGGTGTTCTTTCTTGTTGGTTTTCACATATCCATTCCTTCCCTGTTTCCATACTAAGATCCTTGGTTTAATTCTGAACAACATGTGCCTTAGCTAACCCAGTAGCCATCTTGCTGTTTTCTATTTGGTCTGTGGTATTTCTAAGTCTTCCATCTCTTTCTTTAGATATTTGTGTTTTTATCATCTTGATCCTTGGAATTCTTTATAGCTCCAAGTTTGTTGTTTTTTTTGCTTTTGTTTGAGTCATTTTAAAACTGATCATGTGCTTTTAGTCTTTTCACTAGCCTACTCTATCTTTTTTTCTGACTCCTCTAGCCTGTTATTATACTTGGGCTTTTCTTTTTCACCCTATCTAAGTAAATGCTGTAAGGCATATAAGACTTAACAGAATCCTACATATTTCAAGCTTGATTTAAAAACCTTAAAAGTCACTCAGCCTAGCTGCTTCATTTTACAGATCCATTCAGGCCTATAATTAGGGACTGCTAGAATGGAAACTCTGCACCCTTCCCTTTGTGTGTTACACACCACCTACCCACTCTGAGTCTATCAAATCTTTTAGAACCAGTTTCTCCTATCACTTCTTCCTGTTTCAAAAACTCCCCTTATTTAAATTGTGTCTTTGCGAATCCAGTTAACAAAATATTACTTTATATGTGTTAAATTTTTGCTATGTAATCGTTTAAAATATTATTTAATATGCTATTAAAATATTTAAATATAATTTAATATGCTATTAAAATATTTAAACATCTTGCAGGATGAGTCATTAAAACCTTCTACCAAAATTCAGTCATATGTAAGTAATTTTTATAGAGGCACATGACAATAACAACAACTATTTATTGAAATTGATGTCTAATTTCATCACTTAAAGATTCAGTTCCAATGAAGGGTTCCATTATTCCTCATCTATCAAGCTATCATTTTTGTTCCATTGGTGAACTTCTAATGCCCTTCTTCAGTATGTTAAATCAAGATTCATTTCCCTCATTTTCTTCTGGATCCACTACCTATGAATTACCTCCTTGAGCAAGTACAGTTATGGTACAGAAATGCCATTGCTACCTATTGTGTCTGAGGAAACATTTCTCAGGAAATGCATTGGTAAGACTGAATTCTAAATGATGCAGCATGCCCCAAATAATTTTAATAACAAATCACTGGAATTATATTCATCTTTCTGATCTCTTCACTTTCATTTGCCTGATTTTTAGTTTGTCACTGTATGTATACCCTTTTCAAAACTACTTTATAAAGCTCAACAATGGTAATTGTCCCAATATAATAATTTTCTGGCTAAAACATGGGTGCTTTAAAAATAGGTTGATGAGTTTGGATACAAGAATGAAGCAGTAAAACCTTCTGAACTATTTAAGCTCCTTTAATACTTCAAGTTTTGCAGAAGACTTAAACTCTGCCAAATGATCCTGTTAAGCTATGTCACTAGCTTCAACAGTCTTCTTTAGTACTGTTGCACTTCTACAAAGAGGGAAAAACATCACTTTTTTTTAATCACACTCTTTTCTTTGTATAAGTTAACTTTGTGTTCAATAAGGGCTTTTGATAGTCTGATAATCATACAAAAATAGCTCCCTTGATGAGATTGTGGTCCCCTTCATTGTTAACGGTGGCATTTGATATTTTATATGCTTGAAGGTCCTCGAAAGTTTCCTCTTGCTCAAACTGAGTCTCTTCTGATAAAAATGCGTTCAGTGGCAAGTGATGAGCTTCATATATTGATGCAACGGAGAATGAGCCAAGAGAACCCTATCCGGGCAACTGAAATAGAGCTGGCCCAGCGACTGCAGAAGCTCATTGTTTTAGCAGTTAACAGGATCATTTATCAAGGTAGGACTACAGAATAAATTTCTTCTTCTTCAGATCTTGAATCAAAGGCAAATAATTTAAGAAGGAATTGATTAGGTTGCAGATTTGAAAAATGCATTATTTTTCATTTCTTAAAATCTAAACTATTAAGGAAATGTCTTATTTTGAACTGATAGCCTTGGATAGAAATCCCCTTCTTAATGTATTAAATGCTGGCCTAGATTGACCATTGAGTTTGAAACAGTATGTCACTTCCATTTCAATTTTCATTAAACATTTATTTTGAAATAATTGTAGATCCATGTGTTAAGAAATAGTGCAGAGAGATCCACTGCTCATCAGTGGTAACTATAGTACAATATCACTGACTGTAGTACAATATTGTTGTTGTTGTTATGTCCTGTCGAGTCAGACGCGACTCATAGCGACCTGTCCTTGGGTTTCTGAGGCAGTATCAGTACGGAAGTAGATTGCCCAACCTTCCTTCCGAGGAATGGCTGGTGGGTTTGAACCGCCAGCCTTCTGGTTAGCAGTCAAGTGCCTTAGGTACTATGTTGACGTTGATACTGTCAAGATACAAACATTTCCATCACCAGAGTCCTTTATGTTGCCCTTTGATAGGCACACATGCTTCCCTCCTGCCCACACCCCTCTTCAACCCTTGGCAACCTCTATAATCTGTTTACATTTCTATAATTTTATCATTTCAAGAATATTATGTCTTTTGGGATTGGCATTTTTTTTTTACTTACAGTTCTCTAGAGATTCATACAGGTTGTTGCATGTGTCAATTGTTTTTTTTTTTCCATTTTTATTGCTGAGTGCTGTTCCATGGTTTACATCCACCAAAGTTTATTTAACCATTCATACATTCAAAGACTTCTGGGTTGTTTCTAATTTTTAGCTATTACAAATAAAGATGCTATAAACATTTGTGCACAAGTTTTTGTCTTAATTCTTCATTTTTCTGGGATAAATATCTAGGAGTGCAATTGCTGGATTGTATGATAGTTGCATATTTAGCTTTTAAGAACCTGGCATATTTTTCCAGAGTTGCTTTCTCATTTTACATTACCACCAGCAAGGGATATGTGATCCAGTTTCTGCCATTCTCATTAGTATAGTTATCACTATTTTTTAATTTGAATGATGTCATAGATGTGTAGTGATAGCTCATTGTGGTTTAAATTTCTATTCCCCTACTGGCAAGTGATATTGAACATCTTTTCATGTGCTCATGTGCTATTTGAAAGAGCATTGCTGAAGCAGCAGGTAAAGCACTCAGCTGCTAACCTGAAGATTGGTGGTTGGAACCTACCAGCCGCTCCATGCATGGGAGAAAGATGTGGCAGTCTGCTTCTATAAAAATTTATAGCCTTAGAAACCTTATAGGGCAGTTCTACTTTTATAGGGTCACTATGAATCAGAGTTAACTCGATGGTAATGGGTATTTGTATTTTTACATCCCTTTTGGTAAAATGTCTTTTCATGATTTTTATCATTTTCTAGTTGGATCATTTTTTAACCATTGAATTTTGAGAGTTCATTATATAGCCTAGATACTAGTCCTTTGTCAGATTTGTGGTTTGAAAATATTTTTTCCTAGTCTATATCTTGCCTTTTCATTCTCTTAACAAGCTGTTAATGGGACAAACATTTTTAATTTTGAAGAAGCTCAATATATTAATTTTCATTTTATGTATCATGCTTTTGGTGTCTAAGAACTCTTGGTCTGGCCTTACAGCCTAAAGTTGGGTTTTTTTTTTTTTTTTTTTTT